TCTATATCAGGTTCATTCTAAATTAACAGACCTTATAAGGATAAAATTGAGCTAGAAGAACGAATTAGCAATCATAAATCCTACCATCAGTAGTCAGGAAATAAAAAATGTTGTGTATTGGTTCTTGATGTTAATGTGCAATTCATAACAGTTTCCCTTTGTCATTCGTATTTTTCAAAAACACGCTGTTATTAAAGTACTAAAATGCAGAAAATAATATTTTTTTCATTTAAAGCGTTGAAAAAATATCATCTGCCATTTTAAATATTACGTTAATTACAAATCTAAATTTCAACTTAAGTTCAAACACAAATAAAATAGTTAAAATAGTCACAAACCAACATTTCTAGTCAATTATGTTTTAATACAATGTTTATTGATTCTTTAATAAAGGAAAAGGCTCTCAAACAGTTCAAATTCCCTAGACGCGCGGAATTACAATTTCTACAACATATCACAAAATAGGCTTACCGGAATGAGATGCTAGTAAATCCTCAAAATTTGGGTCAATGTATACAACGTATTTTTTCTCATTCTTATGTAACAGTACTAAGTTACAGTATTTGATTAAAAATATGATCGAATCAGAAAGTCCTCACGAGGCAATAGTCCTCGTGTTGCTTCTTGTGCTACGTTAATAAAACCAAATAATGAAAGCTTATCAATGCGAATTAAAATTTGAAGCAATTTATTAGTTAAGTATTCCTGTGTCTTAAATTTAATTAGTTACTTTATTTCCCTTATTTTCTTTTATTTTGAGTTCTTAAGAAAATTCAGCCTTAGGTACTTGGTCTTTGAAAATGAAATACTTAAGGTAAAAAGCGGCCAGATTTCTTTGATTATTTATAGTTATATTTGTGACATTGGGCTATTCGCGGTTTCTCTTCACTAACCTTGGGGACTTTTAATTGAGATTGATTGCTTTTGCTAAACAACATTTGCCCAACCAAAAATGAAACGTGATTATGTAAAGCAGGTAGAAATGCAGTGAAACGGGTGAGTTAGGAAGTATATAAACTCCGACTGAAAGTAGCGAGAGGGAGGCTGAAGGAGAAGTGAAGCTGAAGCTGAAGTTATAGATAAGCGGAAGGAGGAGTGGAAAGATAGATTGAAATAGAGGGTAAGATTAAAGATTGTTGCAAGACGTTCATTTACCACTGTTTTCAACAGTTGATCCAGAGTCTGAGTTGCAGTCGATGAAGGATTAGTGATAAGAGTCTGTTGGATTACTATTGGTGGGTTGAATTTAGTTACTTGAAATATTCCCTAGGAGAGCATAGTGAGTTGTTGTTATAGTAAATATATGTTAATAAATTCCGTAAAGATTGTTCCAGTGTCTCTTTGATTATTGTGTGTGTTGTTTATTAATTGAATCTAGTGATGGCACAAGAGGAAGCCCGGGTCGGGGCTTCATATTAATCAAAATTTATGTATTGCTATGAACATCAGAACAAGGTTTAATTTTTCAAGTAGTTTTCAGAAATCAATATTAAATAAATTTGAGATTTTTCTACATATTTTGTATTATACACGCTTCAAATCCAAAGGAAAAATGATCATGCATAATCGCTTATTCTTCTCATGCAATGGAATTTTTCTTACAATCAAGTATATACACCTGCTTGAAAAGAATAGCAAATTATAAAGCAAAATTCTTTCCACAAACGTTTATATATGGTAATTGGTATACAATTAGATTCATTTTCGGAGAGGTATTTAAATAAATCGTGTGTTAAAAGCATGAAATGTATACCTCATAAATGACACCTGTTCACATCAAGAACACGTTTCGAAACAAATGAATTACTCAGTCTAATAATAGATATAATTTGTGCATCAATTTGAAGGACGGAGTGTAGTCCCTGTAGCGCAGAGGATCGCGCGTTGGACTTCTAATCCAAAGGCCGAGGGTTCGAATCCCACCAGGGATGAAGTAACTCCTGTGGCGAGAGCACTATTTTTTCATTCCAAGAATGTGCGTGTTTATAATGGTAAAAATAAAACTGTATGAGGGAGAGTTATCTTCAGCAACATTTATTTTAAGAAGAAGAAAAGAAAACTGTTTTAGCTCAAAATCCTGAATTTATCAATTAAAACTAAAAGAAACCTCATACATTGGTTTCTTCTGTTGGAGAAGGAAAGTACAAAAAAACCCTACATTTTCACAAAATTCAAATTTTCTTATATTTGTGAAATTTTCAGTTAGTCTATCCATATTCATAATGAAGAGTCTTTCTCTTTCTATTGTTTCCTATACTTCTCATATGTACGACTAAGATCATCTTTGAATAAATGTAACAAATGTAATGGTTGCTTTTGAAAAAGATATTTTTACGCAAGTTCTTTCAAGAATGCTGATATGTGTTTTTTCAATCTTTCAAATAAGCCTTGATAGCCTAGTGGCAATAGTTGCGGACTCATGGCCGGCGGCTGTCGTGGGTTCGAATCTTTGTGCCACTAAAGATCCTCCGTGTGATAGGGGCTACTCACGTGAGTAAATCTGTCGAGGTTCAAAATCCTCCTGTGGTGTGAAAGTTAGGGAGAGGGAGGTGCCAGCTCAGAAGTCATCCTCGTCACTTGACCGAGACTCAAAATTTTGCCGTCCGTCGCCTGTAGCCCTCGTATCGCTTCTAGTGCGACCAATCCTCCGAGTCTTTGATATTATCTTTTTTTTTTACATTATGCAATAAGCCATTTCTTTCTTATTATTACTGGGGTACTTTTTCATCCTAATTATTTTCTGTGTCTTAGTAAGATTGTTTCAAAATTTCATTAGAGAAAGGCATCTATTGCACAGATTATTCTGATTGTAAGAAAATTTTCAATGCATAAAAACAACAAACGTATTTTTGCAAATAGGTAAATCATATTGTAGAATACATATTCAAGACATCTCTTAGCTATCTTTTTGCATACATACACGACACTTATTTTATCATTAGTGTCTAATCCACCTTTAGTTTAATTACGTAATTTAAAAATATATCTGGTTTATTATAATTCTTACATAAAACTTTGGATTAAAGGTGCTCAGAAAATAGGATTAATAACTTATTCACTTTTATTTCATACAAAATTAAGTCCATATCAATTGAAAACCAATTAATGAAGAAAATATTTCTGTATCACGTGACGTATAAACAAAGTAAATATAAAATAGTAGAAAAATGGAATTATGTACTAGGACATATTTTTATTTTGACGTAGGTGGAGGGAATTTACATAATTTAATTTTGTTACGACTAGCGAAAGAAGATGGTGATCGTTTGGTTATTTTCTGTTCCGGAAATCTGTTTTCTCATTATGTTTATCGATGTGGAAAATTGATCAGTTTCAAATATTTTATTTTAAATCCTTATCGCTTCTTTCATAATATTGATCGGTGAGATCTTTAAAAAGCTCTTCTTGAACTCTTTTCCACTAAACTCACACGTTTTTGGAGAAATATTGCATAAAAAATATGTCAAACATATAGAACAGCAAGGCTTAGTATCTAGATTATATATATCGAACATTATTCGAAATGCATATAGTAAAAAAAATATCAATTTATTTGTATTTCTATGCATGCTAGTGATATAGATCAATTAGCCCCGGTCATCTAACATTTAGTTTTTGTTGTTGCTAGGGGGGAAAAAGCAAATTTGATGAACACTAAAAATTTGTACTCGAAAGTTTACCAAATTTATCTATTTGAGGAATATTTGAAAATAAAGTATCATAATTAAAAACCAAGGGAGCTATACAGAACTACATTTATTATAGAAATGAATCAATTCGATCTATTCAGAGAAGGATGAATAAGTTATGTTTTAACAGTTGAACTAACAATTTTTGTAATCAAACGAAGTAATATACATTAATTCAATAAATTACAAAAAAAAAAGTTTGAGATAATATAAATAGAAATTTTCCAAGAAGCCTGTTTAAAATAGACAACATTTCATAAATATTATGCGACAGATTAAGTTTCAAAATAAATATCTGTTGTTTTCTTTATAAGAAGTGACTATGTCCATCTTAATACTCCTTAAACGATTAGCAATAATTTAGATAATTATTTATAATAAGGTTTAATTATTTAAACAAATAAATTACGTTTGATTCAATGATATTGTAAGAAATGCAAGTCAGTTTAATTAGGCATGATTTATTTAAATTAACATTTTATTTAATTTAGTTTCTCTCTCTGAACTATGTGGGGGAAAATATAAGA